TAAGAAAAACAATTTCCTCAAAAAATGTTCAGAACGAAAGTCAAATGAATGGAAAGATTATGATTTTGATTTGGAAAACTTTAAATTCGTTGTAAGCATTAAAAATTCATCGTCGTAACGCAAATTCGATAAAACTTTTATTTTTTTATCAAAAAATTTTAAACATTTTTTTTTTTGTGTATAAGAAGTAAAGAAAATGCAAGTCATACGTACGTGCTAGGATTTTGATGAATTTTTAAAAATAATTTTATTTATTATTTTTTTCATGCTATTTGCTAATAAATTAATTAAATATTTTAAAGGAGAAAGCTTGAAAGATTTATGAAGAATTTTTTTTATTTAATTAAAATTCCTTGTATTTGTTATTTTTGTACCAAAATAAATTTAAAGGAATTGGTGTTGATATATTTTACCTTTTATACTCTTGTTCACTATGCTTTATTGGTTAGCACACAAAAGGATCTTGTGTAATTCCTTAAAATTTAAAAAATAATGACATTAAATTAAGGTCAAATTCATTCGTGAAAATTAATTTGGAAAATTAATTTAGAAGAGATTTGTATTTTACTTATGTAACAGTGTTTGTGAAACAAAATGTATTGATTTGGGAAAATGTTTAAGCAATAAAAGGCTTTTTTTATTTGTTAATTGTACAAATCTACTTGATTTCATCCTAAAAGTATTGAAAACATTTGCATTATTTAAAGCGTATTAACCAGTGGCTCGGGATAATGATTTGCGTTCCAAAATTCACAAAATATACAGCACCAAAATCACCTCACTTTATTTGAATTTTAAGGTGAAATTTTAAATACGTAAAAAATAATTTTGTCTATATGAGTTTTTCAATCGATACCAAAGAGATGTCCTTGAGAAAATCAGTTTTTTTTTTAAAGTAAAATGAAAAAAAAATGTTGAAGGAACACATACATACAAAATTTATTGTGTATAAGTAGCTTATATTTTGCGTTTTTTTCTTCTTGGATGTAGTAAATTAAAAAAACGAAACCTTTAAAATGCGACTTCAAAAATTAAAATCACATTTTTTGTATAAAGTGGAAGTATGAGGCAGCTAATTTGATAATATTATATCGGGGAAGAAGAACTTATAGATCGAGGGCGGTTTTTTAAGACATGATCATAATATCTGAAAGGTATAAAGAACCGTATGGATATCTAGCTGTGTTTTAGGGGAAATTGTGATATTAATAATCGATTTCAGTACTGCTTTTTGCATCCTTTAAGTTTTTATTTTAAATATCATTTTCGATATCAAACTTTTGAATTTGTAAATTTTTTTTCTTGAATTTAAACCTAAAAAGCAACTTATATGGACCTTTTGTCAAGGCATTTTGAATTTGTTTTAAATGAATAAGTCATTCACGTATGAAATAGGATGATAACTGTATTTTCCTTTATTTATAGGAAATTTTAGCGTATATTTTAAATGACACAACCTTCAACGACAACTTGTGAGCAAAATTTAAACTTAAACGAGTTTTAGTTGAAATCTACACAAATATTAATTGAATTCTCAATAATAAACAAAAATATTTCAGAAACACACATATTTCGTGAGTGGTTATGGGCAAACAATAACGTTCGCGCGAAAAAAGGAAAAAAGGATGTTCTGTTTTGAAATGACATTACAATTTTTCACTTTCTTATCTCATTATAAAATATCTACTTTCTCGTTTTTAAAAATTTTTAAAGGAATTTTCAAGTATTCCCTTTTTGCCAATATTTTGATAAATCTTTTTAAATAATCTAACCAAATTTACAAATATTAAATTTAAGCAAAACGAAATATCTTTGATTTAATAAATGAAAGTCTTTCAATGTCATTCACCTTAAGATTTAAGTGCAATTAAATTTTAAAAGCATTAAGGACTTAATTTTTTTTTCATTTCTGCGACCAAATCTAATTTCACTATACCAGAGTATAGTTAACTTAAATAAACATAATTAACGAGCCATGAACGTGTCACCTTTCAAATTTTAAAAAGGTTTTATGTGAGTATACAAAAAAGAAACCAGTAAATTTATTTTGGGAGACAAAATTTCATAATTTAAAATATTTTTAGATTTCTTGCTAAAGTCATTATGGCTTTTCTTTGCCCTTACTATGTAAATTTAAGCAAAATATTTCCTTTTTACTTTTTCCCTTTGTTATTTCCTTTGTATACAATGCTGTAAATAAACTGTTTTTAGAGAAATTTCTGTCGGTCTGTGGTGATGTGTATCTCAAGTTCGGCTGAACCGATTTCCATAAAAATTTGTACATGAGTTTACTTTAGTTATTTAGATTGATAAATTTTTGGTATATGTATATCAGATCTAAGACTTAACTATGCGCCAACTTTATATTTTGGTAATTTTTAAGAAAATATCCAAGAGATTAACTTGAAATTTTATATATTGCTTCATTTGACAGTATGAAAAACCACCAAACATTTGGAGGAAATTGGATGCCAGAGGAAATTGGCTGGACGTCTACTATGTATAAAGAGAAATAATTAACCGATTTGCTTAAAATTTAGATTTCACGAAATTGGAAAGTAAGACTCTACTAAAAGCAAAATTCACATGGTTTTACTTATGGTAACTAAAAGCTTACTAGCGTTCTTAATATTTTGAGTGCACACATGTTCCACTTTTGTCCAGCAATATTTTAAAAATCGAGAGATCGTTTGTAAATTATTTAATTAGTTTACTTTCAACTCTCAAGAGCGAATGCAAAAAATTTGAGAATATAAGAAACTGTAAGTGTTTCTATTACACAGAGATATTAAAAAATTTGAGCTCTTTTTTTTGTAAATTTAAGTACAAGAGACAAAAGTGGTACATGTGTGTACTCAACGTCCCTAAAAAATAAGTGTGCACTCAAATGGCTAAAATTTGAAAGAAGTTTATATAGGTCGTTTTCATAAACTAGAAAAGATGCGAAAATGAATAAATATTTGCTATAAAATTCGAAAAAAAATCTGCTTATTTACTTCATTTTGTACGCCTGCAAAATAGAGCAAATTGCATTCCGAAAATGTGCTTTGGTTACATTTTCTGTTTTCATAAAATTCCATTATTAAGGTATAAATAAACTTTAACATTTTGTGTATCACAAAGTTACATACAGGTACATTAACAGAAGTTTGTTGATATTTCAGAATAAAACTAGTTAAGTTGACCAATTTTTAGCATTCTAAAGACTAAGAAATTTCATTTCACTATAAGCAGGTTTTAGATTTTTATAATTTAAAAATCTAATTTTTATTATTAAAATTAAATTATAATTTTGTCTTTCTTGGACTAATTAACTTATTCTTTAGTTCCACACTTCATTTTAAATTTTTAAAAGAAAATTGTCATTTTATATTATAAATAGAAGTTTTGAAAATTGCGTACTTCCTACATTATGGTAAACGAGCATAGAAGTAGCAAATGTATAGGTACATACGGTATATGAGATCGAATATATAATTTAATAAAAAAATTAATTTGCACCGGAATTCGTTTTATTTTGTTTAAAAAAAGTTTTACCTTGAAATTCATATTCTGAAAACAGAAAATTACTTAAAGGTATGATTATAGAAAATTTAAAAAAATTTTATTATATACATAGATTCCCCAAAGATATCAAAGATATTTCTAGAAATTATTTAGAATTATTTTAAATTGCATTAATATTTATTATTATTAGCAAAAATAAAAAGATTAATTGCGGATAATATCACCCTTGGTTATATAAAAATAATTATTATATGGGATGAAAAATTTTTTAACATTTGTTTAACAAAATCGATGAAACGAAGAAGGTGTAGCAGAGTGTTTTTTCCTATTTTACTGGAAGAATTTCCAATATAAATGTCTACAGAGGAAAGAACAATTTGAATGTAAGCACGTAGCAATTTCATAATAATTTAATTATTTTAAAAGAAAATTTTTATTTCAAATTTAGCATTCTTAGAAACTACAAGAAGGTTTCATCGAAGCAGACAAAAGAGTTTTGAATTGGAAGCGTAGTAGTTATTAATATTTCCGAAAATTCACATGATTAGATTTTAAAATCAGAATCAAAAAATGTTACCTATTTCAACTGTACTTAAATTTTAACTAGGTTTGATATGTTTTGGTACCACACACTGAAACAAAAAAAACCATTTCTGCTCGTATGAATGCAGCAAAGTTTGATATAATAATGCATTCACTGTGAAATGTTGGGTTTTTGCAAAATGAAAAGTTGCGCAAAATGGAAATTAAAATTAAATTTAAACCTATATGTTTTAAAAAAAATTATTTATATTTAGCTTAAAAGGAGGATTTTGAGTTATTTAGAGAATTTCGGGAAACTTAACACGTTTTTCGTTTTTTTCAAATCCGTTAAAATTTCATCATTTTTATGCCACATTATTGGACATTGCGACAGTGACAATTGCATGAAGTGTGAAGTTCACCAATTTGAACAGCACATGAAACACTAATTTTTCATCTTCATGTTCTTCTTAAACTGGAAGGAATCTGGATTCTATTGAAAATTAAGAATTTAATATTAAGAATTCCAGAAATTAGTGTTTTGGGTTAATATAGATATAGGTATTTTGCTATCTGGTACTTTGGAATCTGGTTCTTTTGATCTCCTTTCTAGAACTTGTGCTCTCAAGGAAAACTTGTAAACCATTTTAGTATGTCAGGAAAAATGAATTTGGGGGAAAACGAAATAAATTCTTTATTTATTGCTTCTTTGTATTTTTATTTATTCTTCTATGTATTTTTCGAGTTGAAAACAAGCCGATACCATGGCAATTATTTTTTTTCTGGTAAACAAAATGACAAAGATTATGTTCTAAATCAAAAATCCTGACGGTAAACCAAAATGTAGCGTTTATTCACAGGTATCTTCCATAATTGTTAAATTTGTTTTAATTTAATTTTAATATTCTGCTTAAAATCGGAATTCAAGCAACATAGAAAACATAATAACTTCAACATGAACATTAAATTACCTCACATGAGTCCTTTTGTCCATTCGCATATCCTGCACATAAAAATGATGGTAAAATTTTCTTATTATGTCCAGCTGTATGGAACATCTCTTGACAAACACTATTTTCTATTACTGGGACCTATAAAATAAAAACATTTTTATATACAATATTGGTAATCATAGTACTTATATTAAAACAAAAACAAATAAAAATAAAGGAAAATGTAAGTGAAAAATGTTATGTTTGCCATGACGATTAAAATTGATTTGTGTTTTTATTAAACTTTTATCATCATCGTATCCATAGTAAATGTTAAGAACGTATGGAATTAAAAGATATTAAAGAAGAATAAATAAGAAATGTAAAAATATTTAATAAAAAAACTTTTTTGAAGATTCCGAAAGGAAAAATCAAAAAAGAAAAGAATAAATAGAAGTAATAAACTAAAAATTAAAGAAAAACTTTTTTCATTTATATTTATTTTCCTCTTTTTATTCTATTTTCAGTATACCTGAACTTCCTGAAGAACAGATGGCACACCACCACCGTATTTAAGACGCCCCCAACCTGTTACTGTTGCCATGCGTCCCGTAAAATCAGCAGTATCTGGTGGCATACATATTGGAACTGGAAAATTAAACACAAAAAAAAATCAATGAAAAGAAATTAAAAAAAAGACAAAATCAAAAAAGGTTAATTAAAGTCTAATAAACAAATATAAAAAAGTTTGTGAGGATTCAAAGTGAAAATTAATAAATTTATTAAGTAAAAATATAAATTGCGGGAATGAAAAACCTGGGGTAAGGTCTGAAGTTTGAGACGGAAGCTTCTATTGGAATTTAATAAAGAGACAGAAAATCTTACGTCAAAGAATGTCATTACATACACAACATTTCTTTAAAAGCGTGTACCATTTGACAAATTGACATTTTTCAAATTGTATAATTATTTTATAAATTTAAAAATCAAATATTTAAATATGCATATGGTGAATAAACTCTCCGCTACAATCTCTGTAATTTCATAAACAATCGTTATATTCCCGGAGTTTGTCTTCTAATAGATTTTTATTACAACATGAATAATAAAGCGTTCCTTATAGGTTTAAATTGAATTGTCTCATTTAATATTAGTAAAAAAATTTTGTAAGACCGTCTATTATTATCAAAATTCTTCAAAAAAGAATTCATCAAAACTAATAACTGTCAAAATTCTCTTTTATTTCAACACACCTAGTTACCCGTTAAATTGAACAAAATTGGTAAGACAACAAATAACCGATAACTGTTATCTCACTGGTTTTTCATCAAAAACCTTTTAGCTATTTTAACACCTACAATTTTAAACATCCCTTAACTGAAAAATTTATGTTATACGTAGGTCTTTACTCTAAAAAATCTCTACTCTGGAACAAGTGATTCAGTAAAAACTCAAATTTTACGAAAAATGAAAGTAAAACAGATGTCTGTGTTGAAGAAAAAATTTTGAAAAAAAACCGTTTGAGTAGCACATTTCCGATTCATTGTTCCATGAATCACTGAAAATATTCTATATAAGAGTTTTCCATTCTCACTAATTTGAGAATAATTTTGTTTCCTCACCAATTTTATTCAATTTGACGGCTAATTAAGTGAGTTGAAATAAAAGAGAATTTTGATTTCTACAAATTCAGACTGCAAAAATTTGGCATTTCAAAGAAAAACTATACAAAAAATATGCAAGAAACGGGCGTAAGTTAACGATAACTTTAAAAAGTACTTTGTAAATTCGATTTTAATGTTATGCTTTAGCTATGCTGCTGGTTTTCTACCTTTTCGGAATTTAAAAAATGGTTCTAGCTTTTACTAGCTTATTGAAATAAATTTTTAAAAAGTTACATTTTAGAGCGCCTGAGCTTTAACATTGTGGAGGCAATTAAAAATTATATTTCTATTATCTTATTAATATGGTCTATCATCGAGATTTATCTGCATATAAAAATTTTAGAGTTTTATATTGAAAGATGTATAAGTTTTGTAAACATATGCATGACCGAACGGATTAAAACTAATCAGCACATTTTTTTTTAATTTTGTTGGAAATGCGCTAAGATTTGAGGAATATCGTCATTTATATTATAATACAATAAATACAATAAAAATTATAATACAATAAAAACAATTACATTTTGTTTTTAAATGTGTTGTTATGCAGTTTAGCTTTTACAAAAAAAGAAAAAAAAAATCAGGATTAAGTGTGAAAAAGTGTGGCAACTAGCGTACAAGCACCTAAATCTATTTTTCGTACGGGCCTCAGAGAGTTGAGACGGTCAACTCTACCTATTCTCATTTTTTGATTTACATTTAAATTTCTCATTTTATTATTTACTCTTCAAGTTATATGGCAGCTACCACAAGAAGTCAAGAAGTCTCAACGATTTTTATCACACATAACAGTAATATTAATACATTCTCTTGTACAAAATTTCGGTTCTATATTTTCTCAGATATAGCCAAATAGCTTTAAGTTGTAGGGAAACTACTAGGACCACTTGGCTCAATCGCAAGCAAATTAAATAGGGTGTCTGCTATACTGTACATCATTTGTGAAAATTTAGTCAGCTTAGGTCAATTAGTTTTTGAGTTATCGTTGGGACGGACGGACAGACTGACAGACAAAGTTAAATCGACTCAGAATTTGACACTGATCAAAAACATACATTAATGTCCATATAACAGACCATTATTTCTTAGTGTTACAAACGGTAAAGCAAATTTATAATAGTCTTCGAACAAACGTTCGAGCTGTACAAAAATAAGGTACATATATGCGCTAAAACGATTCTCAGAATGTTTTAGGACACACGTGTATATTTTTTATATCGTAATACAAGTAAAAAGATTAATAGAAAAGTTTTTGATTTTATATTTCAAGAATACGCAAGTACAATTTTTTTCAAAAATTTAATCAATATTCTATTAAATTTCTATTTAACTATATAATCAGTTTTCGCAATATCTAATATTTTCACAAGAAATAGTTGCTAAAAGAGTTTTTTTAAAATGTTTTAGTATACTTAAGTTCAGAAGTATTAAAAATTTATATTAAATTATATTTGATAATGGCATAGCACAAAAACTATAGAATGAATATGTTTTCGCAACAGAATATCCTAAAAAATTTTTATTTATGAATGTCAATTGTAGTTAAATTATACTCACGAACTATATTGTGTATAGGTGTCTCTAACAATATAAGGACATAGAGTAGATAAAAGTATAAAAATCAATAAATGTATTCTTTTTCCTAAAGGACATATCTTGAATGGGAATCAGTTCAAGGTTGACTTTATATAATATATAGTTGGTTTATCTGCAAAATGAAAAATTGAAAATCAGGTCAAAGACAAAATGATATCAAGGTCAATGTTTATTGTAGTATGTATTTAACAGTGACCTAATTTGAAAATATGGAGGTACACACTTTTTCCAGGATTGTTTATACTCGTACATTGGAATCTTTTACATTGTTATACGTTATGTACGCTTTGAAATATATTTAAAAATAAATACTGGTAGTACATGTATATAAGGAAACTAGTTAAAATTTTTTAGTATATATTTGGTTCCATTTAAGGCCAAAACCTTCAAAATTATTTACATATATCTATATACATACATACATACATAAAACTGGGACATATTTTTTATCTTTGTATACATTGTAAGCTGTAGAGATATAGAGATGCTGTAGGGATGTAGAGCTGTAGAGAAGTTTTAAAATGTTAATTTATTATATTTTAGTTTTCAGCATCGAAAATAATATAAAATTACTTATACCAGATATCACCTTTGCTGTGTTAAAATTTTATAGATCTATTTGAATTGTTATTAATTGCATTGGTTGAATGTGAACTTAGTGCGAACTGAACTTTGTATATCGATCACTTGCTTAAATATTTAAGAATTTTAAAAGAAGTTCAATAACTCTTCATTCATAAAATTAAACGGTTCGGAAGGAAAATATTTATATTTTGTATATCAAAATTTTTTGTGTTTTTTGGAGGCGATAAAATATTACACACGCAAATTAGTTCGAAATCTTTTATTGTGTTATAATTAAATACACAGTTTGTGTTTTGGATCACAATGACCTAAAGGCGGTTTGAATTCGGTTTGAGTAATTGTAAACAAAACTATAAAATTTTAACTTACAACGGGAGTGTAGTAATGGATGTATATGAACTTACAAGTGTATGAATTTAAATAAGAGAATATTATGATTTTAAAAAATTTCAATTAGAATAATAAACTCAAAAAATTAAATAAATTATTTAATATGATAGTAAATCAGATTTCAATTCATACTAACACAGATTTCTAGTTTATGCAATTCTAATTAACTTTCTCTTAAGATATTTATGTATTTACAAGTTTCAAAAAGGTTCTGGGCAAACTTTCTTGTTAAACAACTCTTCATTTCAGACTTTACAATTTCAATTGGGTTTGATATTGTAGACTCTATAATAAAACTCTTCTTTCTTTAAAACTTGCTGAATGTTGCTGCGACAAAATTGTGTATAAGTATTAAATTTTTTAATTTAGTGAGCTTTTTTTTTAAAAATTGCTTATTTGAATGAACCCTTTCTTTTACCAACAAGCGCAATCGCTTTTGGAACATATTACATAAATTAATTTTAGACTGAATTAATTAAGATTTCGTTTAGATGTTTTCATTTTCACTTTGAAACTAAAATGCTATGGTTGTAGAAGATATTTATCGACAACTTAATTTAATTTAACTATATCTGCCATTGGAACACTCTGAATAAGGCACTATTAAAACTTCACTCGCCTTATAAATTACTTGTGTTGCGGCAGCATTAATATACAATTATTATCCTGTCTGTTCTTCTAAGAAATTACTTCTTATATATAAAAACTAATAGCACTAATTTGGAGATTCATATATTATATATATACAAGTAGTATTTTAAAAATTATGTTATATTTAATATATTAATGTTCTAAAGAGTATAAATAACTTTTGTATGCAAAACCAAATTATATTTTAAAGGATTTGAAATAAGTTTTGCCAAAAAAACGAAACAGCTAAAAACTACTTTGTCAAAATTAAAGTTTTCAAGGTCAAAAAATTTTAGGTAATTATATGTTATGATCCTAGATCTTTGGAAGAACTGTTAAATAGTTCTGTTAAATAGTTTATTTCTTTAGAAGGAAATTTTTTTAGATCTCCACTCATCCATAACCATCTAAAGTAATTATAATGATTTAACTTACCTATATGAGTATCATAATTGATAGGACTTTCCAATTCTAATAAAGCTAAGTCATTCTCGAATGTTGCTGCATCATACTGCCTATGAACAACAATTCTTTTTACATTTTTCGTAACGGATCGTTTGGCTTCTAAGTCACCAGAGATGTCAAATTCGCCAAAAACAGCAACTAAAGATGCTAAGAATCTAAATGGAAGAAATTAGAATAAATTAAAAGTTTAGGAATTAGAATATGTGTGATTAAAGAAATATTTTTTGTTTGTTTGTTTCATGTATAAATAATAGTGAGTACAGTATTCACTCGTACTAGTTTTGTATGAACAGAGTACGTAAAGATATATACATAATTTTTTTGTTAAATTTGAAATTTTTTTATTTTGCAGTAATTAAAAAATTACCCTGGTTGACAATGGGCTGCAGTCATCACAAATTTATTTGTAATAAGTACTCCACCGCATTTATTTTTTGTGAAAAGTCCCAACCATGTAGATTCACGTACTAAAACTTGCCATGGCCATTCACCAAAAGTTGCTCCTTTACCTCCAACAATACGACCAGATTTTATATGAGGTCTTACGCCGCATTCTGTAATTTATTAATTTAAATCTTATGAAAATATACAGACTAAATTATAATTTAAATATACATTGGAAAGTTTTCATTAATAACTGCATAAAAATCTTATTATTTTAAATATCGATTTTTATTGCAGTATTTCAGAACTGATGTTTTAAATTTTTGCGCATAACAATAAGATATAGTTAGTTCTCAAATTATGGAAAATTTACTTTATGATTTTTTTTTATTTTTTGAATAATATCCACCTTTGTATTAACAAGTGGCTGTTATATAATGTGTGGAACATATTGAATTATTGTATTCTACATGCATTAAAGCATGTGGATCAAAACCTTCCATTAATGAACTGATGCTAAAACTTTTCGGAACGTTTTAGTTTTAATCGAATGTTATTAAAAAGTGGTTCTAACAACCTTCTTTTTGCATGTTTTTAACAATATTTTTGATTTTTAAAATCAATTTTGACTGTCTATATTAGGTTGATTAATAACATCATAGTAGCTATGTAATACAAGTTAAGCGTTTCTTTCTTCAAAATATGTATGGGTAAATAAATATAAAAACTTACGAAATTTTCGTGCTCCCTCATCACTATCTTCCTCTTCAATTTCATTTTCCTCTTGATTTTCTTCAATTATTTCATTTTCCTGAGGCTCTTGGGTTGTTGTAGTTGGAACGCGTCTTGTTGGCTTTGGTTTCTTCGTTGTAGTTTGCGGCTTTCGAGTAAGAGGTTTTTTGGTTGTTGTTAATTGAGTTACTACTGTTATTGGTTTCTTAGTAATTACTGTCGGTCGTTTCGTAATTTTTGTCGATTTTGTAGTTGAAATGCGTACTAACTGTGTCGCCGGCCTTGAAGTTTGCGGTTTTTTTGTTGTAACTCTGGTAGTTTTTGCAGTTGGAAAAGTCTGAGGTTTTTTCAATAACGTTGGTCTAGATGGAAGTTTTGGTCTTGCTGTAGATCTAGTTATTGAACTTGGAAATGTAATGTTATCATCTTCAACCAAATGAGCGAGGGCTTCGAAGTTTCCTTGTAGGGATTCAACAATTTTACTAACAAGTAAATTCATTTTATTTTTTAATGCGTCATCTTGAATAAAAGCAGGTGTAGACATATACAGATCATTTGTTACTGAAGTAGAAATTGCTGACATGTTTAAGTTGGGATGACGAACTGGCGGGAAATTAACAAAATCATTTGGTGATGTAAATGTTTCTTCTTCTTCTTCTGTTTTGTCTACTACTGCAGTTGGTAAATTTCCGAATGTTGAATAGGACGGGGTAGATGATGGAACATAGTAACCTGGGAAAGAAGGTCTTTCATCGATTGGTTTCGTTGTTGAATAGTATAATAGATTTGACGTTTGTTGTGCTTGTGGTGTATACGCTGGACGATTTGTGTTGATTCCACCATCATAATAACCAGGGTCGTCGAAGTCATTTGATGTAACAGGTGGCAAATTAACATAATCTGCTGTGCTAGTTAAGAAATCTGGTCTCTTAGTGACAATTGGACTAAAAACGTATGATGTGCTAGGAAGCTTTTGAGATTGAGGAACAGAAGTCGTAGGATACTTAATTGAACTCGTCGGTGTAGGTTTAGGCGTAATCAGTACAGTAGGATGAGGTTTTAGTGTATTAGGAGCATCATTAGAAATTTCATGTATAGGTATTTTATATTTATCCATAGGATCAGATTGCTCCACGTTTTGTAAAGTTCCGTATGTTGATGTTGGTATTTCATGCTGCGATTCTGCACCTGGATAATTTACAGAACCAGTACTGTCAGAATTTACTTCGCCTGATACAACGGTACTAATACGATTTACTAAAGTGCTAACACCAACGTAAGATTGTGTCGACGGATGCCTCGGGGGGGTTGGCCCAGTCACGTAGCTTGTAGAAGGAGGCTTTCTCGTCACGGTGGATTGTAAAGGATATTTGATTCCAGGACGTCTTGTTGGTGTGATAATAATTTCGTTATTATAATTATCATGTGATGATTGGCTAATAACATTGTAAGTATTAGGTTTGCTTGTTGAGTGTGTAGTTTGTTGAGCGGTCGTCGAAGACGGTAATGTTGGCCGTTTTTTATGAGCCGTGACTGTTGGTCTTCTAGTGCCACTTGATGTTATTATTACAGGGCGAATCGTAGAAGTTAAGATTTCGGAATCAAGTTTTTGTGGGGCGAGCTCAGTTGTTGTAATTTTAGCAGGAGGTCTTCTAGTTGCACTAGTTGCTGTAACATGCGGATTTATAGGGGGTTTTAAAGTGCTTGATGGAACATCTTGATCCCCGCTTATTACTACTCCTGAACCTGTTGTTATGACCGGTTGAGGGGTAGTTATTGGCGTATGAGTGCTAGATCCTAATTGATATGTTTCTGGTCTAGGAGCATAGTAATGATTATTTTCGCCATATTTATCCAAGTTAACCGAATTTGTATTATAAAAGGGGGGTTTTTGTGTACCATAAGACGATTGCAAATTAACCTTTGTTGCTTCAGTAGTTCCGTTGTACCAATTGTAACTTGGCCCTGGATTCGAGTCATTTAACATTAATATAATAGATTCAATAGAAGCCATATTATTTGTTGTAAAAGTATCTTCAGTCATTGGCCTTTTGGAAGTTTGTTTTTGGCTATTACTTTCTGTAGAATAATTTTCATATTCATATTGGTTACCATTTTCAATTGGCTTTCTTGTCGTGGTGCTGATGCCAATCGGTTTTGGTTTAAAGACCGGTTTTTTATGTGTAACTTTAATTTCTACTAAAGTACTAATTTCAGGCGTTCGTGTTGTGGGGGGCGTTCTAGTTGCTTGTGATTGCGCTAAATACACTGTTGAGGGACCATACCCATTCGAAAAAACCTGGTCCTCATAATTATTAGCGTCATTTTCAATTAAAACTGACTCTGCTGCTGGATGAGTAATATCACTGTGAGTAAACTCTCCATTCGCCAATATATTATTTGGATCGATTTTTTGTGGTGATTGTGTAGGTGTTTGATATGGTGGTCGTAAAGTTGATGATATACCAATAGAAGGATTGGGATTATTACCATATAAAGATGAGATTTTCATTGGTAGCTCAGTAGAAAAACTCGAAATCCTATCATTATTAGGTTTTGATTGCAATGATGGTGGTAAGTAAGGCTCAACTTTCGTGACACTTTGAATTGGTAAATACGAGTCTTGCGTACTAATTTGTAATGGTGGTGGAGATGATGGTGAAGACACTGTTACAGATTCTTTTTCAACATAAAATTGATTTTGAATTTTATTTTTATTACTACTATTATTATTTTTGTTGCTATTTAAGTTATGATTTTGGTTAGAATCAATGTGATTTGTATTTGTGTAGACATTTTCTTGTTGTGCAGATTCATCAATATCTAATTCAGCTGCACTATCATAAAAACTGCCAGTAGGACCTTGTTCACTACTTGTAGCCTGCTGGCTGCCATAACTTTCATAAGCCGATGATACTTGTGGTCGCGGCTTTTGAGCATTTTGAATTAATGTTGTATCAACAATACCTGGCACTTGACAGCATGCACCAAATAGAAACCCATCCATACATGCACCAACAACTTCTCCATTCCTTTGGGCACATTCATGATTAAACATACATATCGTTGGACCTGCTGATCTTGGATCAGATCTAGGTAATATTTTTGATGCTTTACATATCCTAGGAGTTATTCTATAACCACCAAACAATTTTCTAGCACCTGTAAAATTCAAAAGAAAATAGGTATAAGTAATTTTTTCTCTGAAATATTTTTTTTTAGTCAGAGTTGTTAGTTATATATATACATAGATACATCCTGCTTAATTATTTTATTTTATATATCCAAAAATACATGATAAATAAAAAATATTCAATCATTAGCGTCTCATAACACTGTTTATAGAAAATAAACACATACGAGTATTACAATTGGATTAAGGTAGCATATATTATTAATTTTCTAGAAGTGAAAGTTCTGACTATGTGAAAATATAAATTCAATTGATTAGAAAATTGGTTGCTAGATAATTTATACATTGTAAAAAAATTTTATTATTTGAAGGAACGAAGCAATATAATTTCAATGCGCACACACCATGTATAACAGACATTTATTGAGCTGCATTTGAATTATGAAAATCAATTATCTTATATCTTTAAACATCAAATTCACATCATGCATTTATGTAAACTTTAGTAATTTTTATATACGCTCACTTACTATTATTTCTCTTACTTTGTATGCTATTTGCATTCGTGTATTACAATATGTAAATTTTAGCGACATAAAAACCTAGTTTTGTTGTATCTTCCAATCATATGTACTCATGTAAAAACTAGAATATCTGAACCAAATTATTATTTATTTTATTGTAAGCATACCTGTATTTGCATTCGTTTTTCTTGAAATCGTGAAGAAACCATTTAGCAAATCAACTATCATTTTCGGTGTATAAAAATTAATTTTATTTCAATTTTCAATATTATTTTCAATATTTAAATTATGTATAGTTAAAAGTTAGTGTTAACACTTTTCAATAATTGCATGTTCAATTCACATTTGTAAAATTTCTATTTGAATTGATATCAAATAAAATTTACAAAGTTTATTGATTGCACTATATAGAATTTGTCTTAAATCTCTTAATTCCAAAGGCAATTTACATAGATTTGCAAAACAAATGATAAGAAAAAACTTTGAAATTTTGTTTAATGGCACTGTAATTTCAATAGTATTATTCAATATGGTAAAGCGTCTTCCACAGAATAAACATAGAACGATAGATATTTTGCATAGATTTTAGGTTCAACAATTATTGGCGAAACAATAAATTCTGAAACGATTTCTATTCATCCTGTATTCGGGACCTAATAATCATAAGACTCGAAGATTTAAGCTTTTTCGCTTATTATAAATGCTCGCGAAACTTAAACAACAAGAAATAAAGTTAAGTCAAACCAAAGGTTTGTATTGTAGCACTTTTCCCTTCAACAAGTGAAAATACTGCTTTTAAATACAGTCTATATATACTTACCACTCTATTAAAATTATTTTCGTTCATACACGAAACTTTTTCTAGGATTGCATAAATTTAGGATGAACGTTTTATACAGTCTTTGAAATAAAACAAAAATTTAAAGAGGGGTTAGCATAATGATCGATTTTAAGGGTTAATTGCGTGGGTTAAAAAAATAATTATATTTTTTAATGTCATGGATACGATAACTTGAGAGGGGGTGGTGATGGGAAGAAAAGTTTTTCCAAGGAAATGAACTGTTTGTTAGTGCCCAAGAGCTACTAAAATTCCAGGCACGCACAACCCGAGGTCTAGAAGAAAAACAACATCAAAAATTTGAAAAAAAAAAACGGATTTTAGATAACGGTAAACGTTAACGGCCATTTTGTTTCTTTAAAGTTTAACTATAGAATATCGCCATAGAACAAGCAAGCCATTGTCTTTCTCTGTTTGCAAAATTTGAAAAATGCTTATGGTTTCACTGCAATAAATAGTTAAAAAATGACATTTTTAGGGTTTTGGGGGGGGTATAATTTCTAGAGGGGGTCAGATAGGTCCTCGGAAATAAGTCTCTTTCTTCCTCGGAAATAAGTTTCTAGTAAGGATCTATGTATATATTAAATTTCAGGTTTCTATCTTCAAGGGTGTAGAAGTTTTGTAAACATGTCCACGGACGAACGGACGGACGGACAGAGTGAAACTAATAAGCCCATTTTTTCAAAAAATTTTTGGAAAAGTGCTAAAAAGGTTCCTTTGTGTTTTGCCCAAAATTTGAATATCCAATTATATTTTAAATAATTCTTGTTCATAGAAATAATTTATAAAAAAATTTTTAATAAAATTTAAAATTTTTGTTTAATTAAATAGCTGATATGAAAGTTTAGAAGTAATAAAATTACAAAATAAGTAGTGTTGAAGTAATAAATAGTAACTGTTCCTTTTTTGAACTGTCACATACTCTTGAAAAGCATTCGTATGAGTATGAAATATGAAAGAGAGGGAAAGCAAATATCCCTATGTTTTCCTATCATAAAGTTTTCACTATGAAGGATCTATTATGTATCTACATAAATGCTATTTAAATACTTTTATATAAAAAAAACTGGTCGTGTGTGCTTGCATTGTAAGCCTTGCAAGTATAATGCCTGTATAGTTTTGAAATTATTTTAAGTTTACATATGCATATAGATATGTTTTTTTCCTAATAAATAATAACATAAAATTTAAAATAAGAAAAGATCTTAAAAATAATTAAAACAAAGAACATAATTAAACAAGTGATTAGTTCTTTTTTGATCTAATATTTTTTTAGTAATTTATTTTAAAACCTTGCTTTGAGCTTATGTTACTTAAAATCGTAAATTACTGTTGGCAATAAGCATTTTAAGCGATCGTTACTAAATTAAATACGCGTAAAATAATTGTCTACTAACTAAAATTCAAACACATATGTGTTTGGATTCTATAATACACGCGAATAAAATGCGTGAATGTATAATTAGGTAATATAAATAATATATAAGCAGAATAAGGCGTAAAACGATTTTCATGAAAAAGTTCTCAGTAGAGAACTAAGAGAAGTTGATCCTGCTTCAGTGAATGCTCTATAACCATGCGAATGTGCATACAAATTTTTATACACCTAGCTTCAATAGAAATTCCACAATAATATATAAAAACTTTTGTTGTAAGTTGTTCAAGAGGCTTTCAAGTAATGCATTTGTACTTGGAGAAGCAAAGTTTTTGGAACATTATTTTAAAGTTTATTAATTTAATTTATTTTTCAGTTTTTTTAACCAGATAATTTTGTAAGAAATTTTTTAAAACCTTGAATTTTTTTTATAGAATTTTGCCCAGCTTCTCAAACTTCAATTTAAGTCCTCACATATTAAAAAAATTTTTATGGTTCAGAAGATATAGTACAAAAGCCACAAATCCAATTAAAATCAAACCAGATGTTGATAAAACTAAAATTAAATGCAATTTAATAATTTTTTATCACAATATTTGGAAAAATACGAATTCCTTATCCAAAAATTTTACAAATTTCCCAAAACAAGCACCAAATCTCTTAGGAAATTCTCCTAATTCGATAAAAATTCATGTTTTTCTTCTTTCAAATACTTCTTGTTTTTCTCTATTTAATTGCAAATTTAAAATTACATAACTGTTTTACTGGAACATGCAACTAAAAAGCATCAACCATACACCAATTTCAGTTTTTGTGGAAATTTGTTTAAAATTTATTAATCCCATTAAAATATTGATTTATTATTTATTAGCCTCATAATGTTTATTCTATATAATTTACAAACTCCATTTTGTGCAAACAAAATAAAAATTTTCCTATTGAAAAAAAAAAATTCTATTGGAATAAATGTCAAAATTTGTATGTCATGTGTTTAAAAATACGCTCCAGCTGGATAATTCTAATAACTTCAGATGCGAAATGGTGTCTAGATTCCGAAAATTATTTTTTCAAATTTTTAAATAGCACCTAATCTGAGAAAAATGCATTTAAAAATTTCAAACCATATAGGTACCATTTCTTATAAAATTTGGCAAAAATTAAAAACCTATTATTTTTTTTACCAAGAAAAGTTTCGAAAAATAATTTTTGATTACTAGATTTTTTTTGTTTTTCCAAAATGAAAATTCTAGTTTTTCTTTTAAAAATTTAAAGTTTTTTAAAATCAATTTTTGATTTTCGAATTAAAAGTTTTTATAAAATTTCGTTTCAATTTTATTATTATTTCTTACAGTTCAATAAAAACAATAGAATTTTGATTTTTTTTCAAAAAAACGGCTCTTAATAAATTTAACTGTTTTTTTGAGTGACCTTTGTCATCAAAAATTAATGATTGTTGAGAACTACAGTGCTTAAAATCAATAAAAATCGAAAATAGTGAAAAATAAGGTCTTTGAAATCTTCAGTTAGAAATAGTTTTTGTGCTATATTTCTGTACCATAAAAAAATTTTAATGCTTGAGCACTTAAATTAAAGCTTAAGCAGCTTGGCAAAATTCTATTAAAAAAATTTCAAGGCTTTAAAAAATTTCGTACGAAATTTGATTTTCCCTAAAGTTCGAAAGCTTGGTATTCCGAAGATACATAAATTACAGAATCAAGCAATCATGTTTATTTTAAGCCCTTTACTAGGCCTTTCAGAAACTCTTTGTTTGAAGATCCTATCTGTTTTGGAATGGAATGGAAAAGTTATAATCAAAATAACTCGGATAAGTAAAAATTTCGTGAAAATTCGTTAAAACCTCTGGAACCCGGAAACCCTTAAGATCTGGCACCTAGTCCGGAACAAAAGCTTTACCCATTTTCGACCTTCTAACCCATGATATATGTTGTTGTATAACTTTCAGAATCACCCTGAATATATACATAATATGTTTACCTTAAAATCAATGCAACGACTAATTTGAAGCATACAATTAATTACTAGGATACATTCGATGTACATACGTGATATTTAAATTAATTTTTAAAATTCCAGCAATGGAGCATTTGAGGTTAAAAATGGAGCTGTATATTTGCTGTTTTTAAACTGGAACATTACTTATTTTGTTAACAAACGAATACTTAATTAGTAAATTGTCTGCTATTAATTTCAAAATAACACTGTGTTCTACTGGTTAGTTTAGTTTTTCTGGTGATGTGAAAGCTATTGTTTTGAAATTTATTTCTCAAATAC